TGACTCCTCCCACACTCACCGCCTTGTCTCTCTCTCGCCCTGGGTGGGGGGTTAGTGAGGGGCTGAGCACATTTCTGAGGTACTACCCAGATAAATTCTCTCCATCTTCATGAGGAACGTGGGAAGGTGTTTCTTCCAGCGAGTAAGCAAAGGCTTGTCCTTCCCATCTGATTATAGTGGAGGCAGATCCTCTCTGAGGACAGGTTGAACAACTACAATAAAACCCCTTCAAGTATTTTGTCCCCCCTTGAACACTGAGATTTGGAATGAAAAGCGAGGCCATGTATGTCATTGCCCGAGCTGGCAAACATGTGGTCTCTCCTGGTGCCCATGGACTGGGTCAGTGGTTCTCACTCCCCACTGCGCACCAGCTATGGGTAGATGGTAGGGAAAACTTATTAAAAATTCTTATTTCAGGACCGGCAGATGGCATGGGGAGTTGGATTCCCATATGGCCAACTGCGGTTTGGGTCCTGGACCTTGTGGCTTGCTTTCTCTGTCTTGCGCGCTCTCTCTCTGTATCTCTCTGGTCAAATTAAAAAATAATATCAATAAATAAAATTAAATAAATTGATTTTTACAAATCCTTATTTCTGGGACCAACCCCGCAGACTAGTGGTTAAAGGAGCCAGATACCATATGGTCAACCATGCAGCTTGAATCCTGGCCTAGATGCTTAAAAAACACACTGTGTAGGGACCAGCAGTTAGCATAATGGCTATGTCGCTGGACTCCCATGTAGTTGACCGCAGTTCAAGTCCTGGACCTGGTGGCTTAAACTCATGCTGGGTGCGTATGTGTGTGTGCCCAAGATCCTGAGAGGAGAATGGAGGAGAAGGGATTGCAGCGTGGCCATCCCCCCTGGGGGGTGATTTTTCACTTTTGGTCTCTCTGTCTCTCTCTGTCTTTCTGGTGAGCACACACACCCTATAGCAAAAACCTCTCCAAAAACCAAACAAACAAACAAAACACACTGGGTGTACACACCCAGAAACCAGATAGGGTGAAGAGAGGAAGACAAGGGATTGCGGCATGACCATGCCCCATCGAGGGTGCTTTCTCCCTTTCTGTCTCTGGCGAATGCATGCACCCTCTGGCATATTTAGAAATCCTTATTCCTGGAGCTCACCAGGAATCTCTAAAAGTGAAGCCCAGAAACCTGCACGTCCTTACGTATTTCATGAGTGACTTTCTGCAGTCAGCCAGGGACCAGGTCCTTGTCTCTGGGAACATTGACTTAGATCATTTTCAGAGATTAATTTATCATAGAATTCCCTCCCCCCACTTCTTTTTTTTTGTTACAGGGTGTTTGTGCTTGCCAGAGAGGAGAGAAACAGAGAGATACAGAGAGGGAAAGTGAGAAATCACACTTCTCCTCCCTTCTCCTCATGGGATTTTGGGCACATGCACACATGTACCCAGCATGATTTTCAGGCTGCTGCGTCTGACTCTAACCATGGTCAGCCATGTGGGAGTCCAACACCTTAACATGCATGCTTACCTGCTGGGCCCTATAAAATTGTCTTTAAAATGAATACTGCTGATGTTCCTGAGTTTGTCCCGTATGCTTCCTTCTGGAAATTGCATGGTAATCATAAATAAAATATCACTGGGCATCTCTTTTTACCTGGGCCTTCACCGGGGATGGGGGATGGGGACTGCAGGTGAGCCAGGATGGTCCGATCCATACAGGCCATGTCATGCAGTTGTTTTGTGAAAACCTACCCAGTTCTCTTAACACTCTTTACTTATATATTCAAATTTGCTTTCGGGTGCATGCGTGAGCGAGAGAGGGAGAGAGAAAGTGAGGATAACCACACCTCAATCCCTCTCCATTGTCCTCTTGGAATTTTGGGCACTATTACACACACACACACACGCACACACACACACACACACACACACCAGACACTCGGCATGTTTTCCAAGCTATCTGATTCAGGACTCAAACCACACAGTTGGCCATGTGGGATCCAGCCACCTTAACCACTATGCCACCTCCCTGGGCTCCAACACGGTGTATTAACAAGCCCGTCTTTGCTCCAGTAATCTGCAATGCAGCCTCTGTCATATACTAAATTCCTATGAATACTAGGTCTACTCCTGGGCTTTCTATTCTAACCCACTGGTTTATTTGTCTTGGTACGCAATAGTGACACGTTGCTTTAATCAGTGACTGGTTTTTTGTTTTGTTTTGTTTGTTTTTGAGAAGTTTTTGCTATAGGGCGCATGCACTTGCCAGAAAGAGACAGAGACAGAGAGACAGAAAGCGAGAAATCACCCCCAGGGGGGATGGCCACGCTGCAATCCCTTCTCCTCCATTCTTTTCTCGGGATCTTGGGCACGCACACACATGTGCCCAGCATGAGTTTAAGCCACCGGGTCCAGGACTCAAACCATGGTCGACTACGTGGAATCTAGCGACATAGCCATTACACCAACTGCTGGTCCTGTAACGATTTGTTTTAATACTTTGTAAGACTAGTATTCCTTCGTGGTTTTGTTTTTCAGTGTTTTCCTTGCTGTTTTTGCACGTTTGTTTCTCCATAGGAACTTGTCTGATTTCATTAAAGCCTATTAGCATTTTTATTGATATTACATTATTATTATTATTTTGCCATAGGGCACATGCGCTCTCTGGAGAGAGACAGAGAGAGTGAGAACTCACCCCCCAGGGAGATGGCCATGCCACAATCCCTTCTCCTTCATCCTCCTCTTGGGATTGTTGTCACACATGCTCCTGGCATGTTTTAAGCCTCCAGTTCTGGTATTCAAACCATGGGATCAGCCGTGTGGGATTCAGCCACCTTAACCACCATGCCACCGGCTGGCACAACATTAGTTTTCCCAATTTGCATTTAATACAATACAAAGCAAACAAGTGGCATGGTACTTAAGGTGCTGAACTCCCACATGGTTGACTCCATGGTTCGAGTACTGGAACTGGAGGCTTGAAAAATATGCCAGGCACGGGGCCGGCAAGTGACATGGTGGTTAAGGGCACTGGACTCCCGCATGGCCGACCACAGTTTGAGTTCTGCACCAGGTGGCTTGCTTTCTCACTTTCCCTCTATCATTCTGTCCCTCTCTGGTTAAATTAAAATAAATAAATAAAGTCAAATAAAATAATTCTTTAAAAAATAAAAGAAAAAGGAAAACATGCCAGGTGCATGTATTTGACAAAAATCCCACGGGAAGAATAGAGGAGAAAGGATTACAACATTTCCATCCTCCCTGGGGGAAGGGGGACGGTGATCTCTCACTTTCCCTCTCTCTCTCTGTCTCTCTCTGTCGAGCACAAGTGCCCTACAGCAAACCGGAAAGAAAAAAAGAAAAAGAAAACTGATGTTGAGTCATCCTATGCTAGAAAGTACTTTCGGCTCTCCCAGTGTGTGTTAATGTTTTCCTCATGTAGATATTTTGCACCTACGAGATTTTACGAAAAATGTGTAACATGAAAACACTATGCATGAATTTAATTTTTTTTAAATTAAAAAACTAACTCCATTTTCCACGAACCTTTTGAAGTCTCTTATAGCTTGTGAAGTTTATTCCTAAGTAATTGCATTTTCTGTTGGAATTGTAATGAGTTTTCCATATTATTATATACTCTACCTAGTTAGCATTTTGGTACAGGAAGGCAATTGAGTTCTGTGTGTTAACTTCATATCCTACCACCTCACTCAACTCTCTCCTGTTACATCGTTCAGAGTAGAAATAGCTTGACTTCTTTACCAGTTATGATGATGATTGTTTAATTTACTGCAGGGCATGTGTGCTTACTGGAGAGAGACAGAGAACGGGGAGAAAGAAAGTGAGAAAGTACCCTCTGGGGGGAATGGCCACGCTGCAATCCCTTCCCCTCCATTCTCCTCTCAGGCTTTGGGGCATGTGCTCACACGCACCTGGCATGTTTCTGAGCCACCAGGTCCAGACTCGAACCACACAGTCAGGTAGGGGAACCAGTCACCCTAACTACCGCGTCACTGGCTGCTCCTTTTCCAGTTATAATGCCTCTAAAGGATGTGTTATGTTTAATTGCATTGCTAATATCTCTAGGCCAGTCCTGAGCACTAATGGAGGTGTCCTGGGCATCCTACCTTGTTCCTCTCTTAGAGAAAATGTCTAGTGTTTCTCGAAGTACATAGTGTTGGGGCTGACATGTGGCATGATGGTTATGGGTATTGGACTCCAACATGGCCGACTGCGGTTAGAATTCCAGACCTGGCAGCTTGCTTTCTCATTTTTCCTCTCTCTGTCCCTCTCTCTCTCTCTCTGTCCCTCTCTGGTCAAATTAAAACAATAAAAATAAAATCAAATAAAAAGTTAAATAAGATCATTCTTTTAAAAATATAAAAGAAGTGCATAGTGCTTAGGGGACTAATTGAAAAAGAGTTATCTATTTTATCTATATTGCATTTATACATATATATACATATAGTCATACTGAGAACGTATCTCCCAATTTCTATTTGCTTGAGGATTTTTTTTTTTTGAAGAGGTTTTTGCTATAGGGCGCATGCACTCACCAGACAGAGAGAGACAGAGAGACAGAAAGTGAGAAATCACCCCCCAGGGGGGATGGTCACACCACAATCCCTTCTCCTCCATTCTCCTCTCGGGATGTTGGGCATGCATGCACACGCGCCCAGCGTGAGTTTAAGCCACCAGGTCTGGGACGCGAACCACGGTCGACTACGTAGGAGTCCAGCGAC